TTAATTTTTTTAATTAGTCACAGCGCCACCTGTTGACAACAGGAAGCCACTACCTCTGAGCACTGTTTCCTTTGCACTAGCCATTGCTACACAGTTGCTCATATCTCCCTCAAAATCGCTGTTGACCATCCAAAGACCTTGGCCATACGACCTTTCGAAGCCTGCGTGAAAAGCTGTTCCCTTACGGGCGCGTTGCTCGCCATCAAACAAAAAATTGTTATTTGAGGGGCTTCAAATTTCTTAACATGGTCGTATACACACGAAACTTCATACACATCATCCCAGTGGGCAAATAAAACTTTTCATGTGGGTGTAGTGAGTGGGTGTGGCTGAATGTGGCACCCTCTTGAACTCTTCCAAAAGGCCTCCCCAGAGAGGTTTGTTTCACCTACATGCATGAACATTTTTCTGTATATTAAACATGACAGGACCTACAAATAATCCTTTGGCACATAGTCAAAACCCAACAGAAAGTCCGCCATAATTGTTTGAACATTAGAAAAATAGCTCAACTTCACGTTTCATAGGGTACCTATTTGAACGAACTAGTCCGAGGGCGTTCATCCGATCATTGCAAACTCAGTGTCAGTGTGTTCTAGACATGTTGAAGATATCAGCTTGTGCTCTACACGATTGTACATAAAAGGGTGTGGCCACAGCGTACCTTCAAACTTTGTTGTCTTGGTGCGCCCCTTTTAACCTTTCCAAAAAGCCTCCCCACAGAGGTTTTATTCACCTACATGCATGACATTTTTTATGTATATTAATCCTGTCAGGACCTAAAAAAAATCCTCTTGCAACCATAGTCACAACCCAACAGGAAGTCCGCTATAGTTTTTTAAATAGTTACATAATGGTCCCAGTTTTGCATTTCACAGGCTACCTATTTGCACATAATTCCCCAAGCACACATTCATCTGATCATCGCCAACTTAGTGTCAGTGTATTCTAGACATTTTAAAGATCTAAAAATATGCAAAACCAAGAATCTACATAAAAGGGCGTGGCTGCAGCGTACTGTCAAACTTCAATATCTCGGTGCACCCCTATGATGTTTTTCGAAAGCCCCCCCCCCCCCCCCCACCCAAGAGGTTTTTTCCCCAACATGCGTGATATATTTTCTGCATATTAATCATGTCAGGATTTTGATAAAATGTCAAGATGCCCATTGTCAAAACCCAACAGGAAAACCGCCATCATTTCTTTCATGTATGAAAAAGGCCCAATTGTTTATTTTCTGGCTTCCTATCTGAACGTACTTCCTGGAGGCCCTGTTCAATCATCCAATCATCGCCAACTCAGTGTCAGTGTGTTACAGACATGTTGAAGATTTAAAGTTGTGCAAAACCAAGATTTTAACTAAATAAAAGGGTGTGACCGCAGCGTACTGTCAAACTTTGATGTCTTGGTGCGCCCCTGTAATATCTACCAAAAGGCCTCCCCATAGAGGATTTTTTCACCGTCATGCGTGACATGTTTTACCTATATTAACCATGTAAAGACCTAAAAAAATCCTCTTACACCCATAATAAAAACCCAACAGAAATTCTGCCATCATTTTTTAAAATTTGTTTTGAAAATTATAAATGTCAAAAAAATGTAAAGGAAAGGTAACAAATTTATCAATAAAAAATATAAGCCTCGTACTGCTTTGTTATAATGAATTACTATTACCAAAACATGCATTTATAATGACAGTCTATCAAAATATTATCCTACAAAGGGTATTCTACATATTAAATCAAAATACATTTTGTCCAAAGCTCTACAATTAAGGCAATGCTGCCATCTGATGGCTGATTTCACTTGATTTCCTTTGCCCAGGAATAGCCTTGCCAAATGTTTTGATAGAAATGACCAGGTCCACAGCTTGGATACATTGGAACCGACGACGACAACAGGCACAAATCGATCTGCTGGCCTCCTCCTTGGCGCCACCTCGTTGCTGCTGCGTTACCCGCAGTCGCAACACACCTTGAAGCGCTCAAAGTGCGAGGGCCCTTCATCACCGCTTGTGGTTTTAATGTAACTTCTGACTTTGTCGCCGTTTCTGGTGGTTTGTGGTTTATTTGATATAAAATATAAAGTTTTTGTTTATGTCTAAACTGAAAATGTAAGTATTCTAGCTTTTTGTTTTATTTGATTTTTTGTTTCTGTGTATTTGTTGTTGTTTATTTTCTGGGTAGGGGTGTGAGAGGAGAAGAACAGTGTACCCATTATTCTTACTTTGTGTGTGTATCTAAGAATGCTGACTAATGAACACAAAAAGCTGAGGTTTCCATTTATAGGCTAGTACTCAATATTTACATTTTCAAAATGTCCAATTCTTTTTAGCATCAAAAAGTAGGGAAGCTTTAAAGATAGACTTTTAACCTTTTTTGCCCACCTCCTCGGACCACCTGGCGCCCTCTGCTGGTCACATTTCACCCCTCACACTTTGAATTGATTCTACCCCGAACATCTTCATTAGTAACGTCTGCATACCTGTTTGTCCTCCGCTGAAGAGTCATCGGTGGTGACCTCGTCGCATGCATTTACAGAAACAACATCAGGAAACATGAAATGCATCAGAAGAGTTCTGAGTGTAGATAAACGAAGGAGAAGAAGACAGCAGAGCCGAGGTGCTTTTCAGAACATTTTACTGGTTTTGTAACATGAATCCACGGCTTCCTCTGACGAGCCTTTGGGGATGCTTTGACGGTGGAACCTGAGATAAAAAAAACTCCATTCAGGGAGCAGTTAAGTAGAATATATATATGTTTAGGTTTGTGATGTGAACGTTCCCATTCTCTAAGCAAAAAAGAACAATAAAAAAAAGATCAAAAAACAGAAGAGGGACAGTGTCGAGGTTCAGCCTTTGAGGTGGAGGGAACACAGCGCCCCCTGCTGGAGAACAGAGATAACAGTTGGTGCCATTTTTAGACCAACGGATGGGGGGGGGGGGGGGGTCAGGTTGCACGCTCCTCAAGTGATGGGTGAGCTGGGGGTGATGGGCGAGGCGGGGGGGGGGGGGATAACGCTGTTTGTGTGCAATACGGAGAAAAGGCACAATAGCACAGTGTGTCATGCTTTTCTACTTCCCGCTTCGGCCAATCAGACGATGCAGTGCAATGCTAAGCACGGCGCTCGTCCCGGTGCAGGAGGGGGCTGTCAGAGGGTCGCTTCAGCAGCAAAAGGTCAGTCAGTGATCATCGAGACGGGACGGCTGGCGGCAAATCACTTCGAGACAGACGCACGCGTCTCGTCTCACAAAGACAATCATAAAACCCCAAAAAAATCCTCACAACAGACGAGAGCGACACGCCTCACGCCCCGCGCCCCGCGCCTCACGCCCCGCGCCCCGCGCCCCGCGCCTCACGCCCCACGCCCCCGCGCCCCGCGCCCCGCGCCCCGCGCCCCACGCCTCGCGCCCCGCGCCCCACGCCTCACGCCCCGCGCCCCGCGCCCCGCGCCCCACGCCTCACGCCCCACGCCGCGGAACGATGTGCAGATCTTAAACTCAGCCGCCTGATCTTCAAACAGCTGATCTTAACGACCCCCCCCCCCCCCCCACCCGCCCTCACAGCTCAGCAGTTTAAATCTTAGAACAGCGCCACTAAATGTCACTTCTCCCTCACCAACCAATCACAATCAAGAAGGGCCGGGGCTTCTGATATCAGTTTAGACGCTCGTCCGACTCGTCTTTTGGCGGGAACAGTTTCAGGTGAAGAGCTGTTGATGATGTCAGGACGCCTTTTACATTGTCATCGTTACCGAGGGCAACAGATGTTTACTTTTGTAACCTAGCAACGATAAGAAACGCTCTGAAACAGAGGCCGCTCTGTCCCGAGGACACAGGTCGCAAATCTCCCCCAAAAACGTTTCCTTCAATCTGACTTTCATTATCTAGTAACATTTCCTACACGTGAAGAAGAGCGTCTTAGCCGCCCGGCGCTCGCCGAGGACCGAGCGTGTAACACGAGGAATCTAGAATCCAGAAACAAAGACAGAGCGTCGAGGAGGCAAAGTTAAGAAAAGAGACCGGAGGTGTGGATGTTGGGAAAACGTCACATGACATCGACCTTCTGTGTCCCCGCCTTCACTCGACACCTTTACAGCTACAGGTGAAGAAGAGTCTGCGAGCGCCTCGTTGCCACGGCGACCATGTGGAAGGCTTCAGAGCTGGAGGAACAAATCTACAAACTACTCGAGTAAATACTTCACGTCTAATAAATCTATGATAACATAAAGATTATATTCAAGAACTGAGTCATCACGTTTTTTGGTTGGTACACGAGGGGTTAAGTAGCCCTTTGAGAGCGATGACCTCTGACCCCTCAGTATCCTCCTTTAAGATCTGCACTTTTATTTTCAATCCTTTTCTGAGGCGAATCACACGAGAGAGTCCAGATGTAACAAATCCATCGAGCGTTCAGGGGGACGTCGACGCCCCTCGTTAAGAGCTCCTCCCCCTCTTCATTTCTCCAAACTTCAGATTCTAAATCATCTCAAAACTTCACAACAAGCGAAAAAGGATTCAACCCAACGCTCTGAGACACTTCAAACTGAGAGGAGGGGGGAGGGGGGGAGAGAGAGAGGGGGAGGGGGGAGAGAGAGAGGGGAGGGGGGAGAGAGAGAGAGAGAGAGAGAGGGGAGAGAGGGGGAGAGAGAGAGAGAGAGAGAGAGAGAGAGAGGGGGGAGAGAGAGAGAGGGGGAGAGAGAGAGAGAGAGAGAGGGGGAGAGAGAGAGAGGGGGGAGAGAGAGAGAGAGGGGGAGAGAGAGGGGGAGAGAGAGAGAGGGGAGAGAGGGGGAGAGAGAGAGAGGGGGAGAGAGAGAGAGAGAGAGAGAGAGAGAGGGGGAGAGAGAGAGAGGGGGAGAGAGAGAGAGGGGGAGAGAGACAGAGAGAGAGAGAGAGAGAGAGAGAGAGGGAGAGACAGAGAGACAGAGAGAAAGAGAGAGAGACAGAGAGAGAGAGAGACAGAGAGAGAGAGAGAGACAGAGAGAGAGAGAGAGAGAGGGAGAGACAGAGAGAGAGAGAGACAGAGAGAGAGAGAGAGAGACAGAGAGAGAGAGAGAGACAGAGAGAGAGAGAGAGACTACTGGCTTTGAGTGTCTAGGTCCTTCCTGCAAAAAGTGGGTGTAACAGGGAAGTGGGCGGGGCTAAGAGAGAGAGAGAGAGGGGGAAGGGGGTGTTATGGCGAGAGATAGTAAGGGCAGGGCCGCGGCATTGCTTTGCCCCCCTGCGACGGTCGACCTCAATGGACGATGAGCGCCCCGGCAGCGTAGCTCACAGAGCTGTCCTGCCAGTTCCTGCACTCACTCGACTGGGCGTAGTTCAGGAACGAGAAGTTCATTTCTAATCCCGACTTCCTCAGCTCGGCCACGGCCTGAAAAACACAAACAAGAGAAGGAGCTCTTTAGTGACGCTCGCTGACTCACACTGAACAGCTGGACGCAGGAAACAGCAGCTCTGTGTGCCGCTGCGACCGCACGGAGGATCAACAGGGGGCGCTAACAGCCACGCACCATTAAGAGTGAAAACATGAGCATCTGCTGAGATGTGGAGGTAACTGCGCCGCAGTATTTACAATAGATGAGACGCTCAAACTTTCCAGAGATCAGGAAAAACAAGTCTGCCTCTGTGCCTTCAAAATAAAAGCTCAGTAAATAAAGTCTGTTATGTAATTAATCTAACCAGCTGCATTAAATCAGTCTCCACACTTCATCCAGCACGTGTGGAGAGACGCTCTGAAGCCGTTACCATGACGACGATGAGAATGCTGTCTTCAATATTATCATTCCTTCAAATGACCGCAGTGTTTGTTCTTCTGAACGTTTTAACTTGAACGCTCAGAGTTCAGGAGTGGATGACACGCGCTCTTCTTCTCTGGTTTACTTACATTTAGCAGCACTCCGATAGGGTGGCGCCCACAGATGGTGTTGCGGTACTTCTTCAAGTAGTTGGTGAAAGACATCGGGTCCAGCTGTTCTATAATGCCCATCCCCTGAAACAATTCAGACAAACATCATGTGAGGTAAAGGTAAATTAATATCAGCCTCACAGCTCTCTATCATAAACATCTTACAGACACAAAATAATTCTGTTGTGAACTGTTATAAAAAACTACCCCATGACATGCTTCATTATTATTATCATTACTAACATTATATTATTATTTAGCATCAATATATATACTGTATATTCTTATTATATATTTTTTATTAAATTATTATGTTAGTCTTATTATATATTATATAACATTTCATTATATTACACTTTATTGTTTATATTGCACTATATTATATGATATTATATTATACTACATTATATTATATAGCTGCACTCTGCATCACTGTGGTACAACACTGCCTCTCTTCTCTGCTGTTTACATTATCATGCTGCTCTTGATCATACCAAGTCACTTTAATCATCACTTGTCACTTTATCTTCTCATTCTCTGCACATACTGTCTCAATTCCCTGCATAGTTAACTTCATCATTCATTTTGTACTTGTATGAACCCCCTGTTTTTATTTATCTTATCTAATCTATTCTGTTTAATGTGTATTTTGTATTTTGACCTTACTTGTCTGTGTTGCTGCAACGCCCGAATTTCCCCTCTGGGAATCAATAAAGTATTATCCTATCCTAAACTTAAACTGGCCTATAAACATCCTGTTTTCTAGATGTCTTTGCATGACCTTTGATCTCTACCAGGATGACTCTGCATGGACATTTTCTCTTCTTCTGTCCAGGTTGATTGTGTTAAACTTCTTATCTCCTACAAACAGAGCTTTTCGATATCCTCCCTTCCTCCTCGACAGTCTTCAGTCTCTCTCTCATTTGAGTTTCTCTGCAGACTGATCACCATGATACACTCTGTGCAGTTTCTCCTAACTAATTCATATCTTCTTTATTACAGTGACCGCTGTGCATCCGGCTGATGGTGATCAAGAGATTGCACATGTGGATGTATATTCATGTTTGAGATGTTACCATTCTATCCAGATGTTCAATGGACCTGTAGATCTCCCCCTGAGCCTCATCGTAGTACGTGTAGCGGAACCGCTGACCTTCAGAAGAGATGAGGTCATCATCAACAATGCTGGTCACATGTTTTTATCAGAGGAGCATGTGTCTCTCTCTGTCTGTACCTACCCCAGTGGCAGAAGTCGGAGGAGATGATGAAAAGGTTGGAGGGGTCGGCCAGGTACTTGCTGAGCAGTTTCCCGTACTCCTGTTCCCTGGACTCGCTCAGGGCGCCCACCAGCACGGGGACGATGCTGAACTCGTCTTTGTGGCTGAAACATCAAGATTTTCTGATCAGTATCAAATCACGCAAACGTGTCAGTTTTAAAAGTGAAAGCTTGAAAGCATTTTTCAACTATTACTCAACTAGACAAATCAATAACCTACCAATGTGTCGTACATCTCGAGGACTCAATAAGATACCATGGAGTCAAATTATGGAACATGCATCTTTATTTACTTGATGATTTTTTGTCTTTTTCTCGATACAAATTGAGACTCAGAAATGCGTTGATGTCAGAAAGATTTGTAGTGAATTGTCCTGATTTTGTTATATTGTCTACATACTGTATGTCCTGTTTTTTCCCATTTTTATGTTTTCAATGTTTGTATGTAATTTTCAATTGGGTACATTTGACTTGTGATAGTAAATATTCTTACTTTGTTATTTTACTGTATTCTATTTGAACTTTGTTTAATCTCTTAAGGTGAGGTTTGGAGCTAAGCCCTCACCTGCACATGTGTTTTATTTTTTATTTGTTTTATTTTTCTGTTTGACTCTTCTTTCAAAAAATGTGCAAATAAACTAAAACTACAAGTTGAACATTGAACAGACTCTGTTTAAAGTACAAACAGGATGATCGTTACCTCTCCATGGCTTTAGCAGTGTAAGGCAAGTGCATCTCGATACTGTGCTCGTCTTCGTCTGTCTGGATGCTCATCCGCTCGAACAACCCGGTTTTCCAGAGGTCGGAGTAAACTGTAAAAACAGAGGTGACTTCATTTATATCTATGCGTGTTTCTGTGACCATGTCAGCTAATTAAGTTCTCTGAAGAGCTGCACACTCGTTAAAGAGGGAAAAGTCTTTTTACTCAGAGGCAGCGAACTGTCTGCTCCCCGGAGGATCATTTAGAGTGCGTCATCACCCTAAAATACTCCAAGAGGTTGGAGCTCTTTTCACACCGACAAAGAAAGAGGAGATCACCACACAGAAGGAAGACAGGTGTCGACCTACAGAAGCCCCACAGTTAAACCCTTAAAGGAGCAGTATGTAACTCTGACCCCTAGAGTTTAAAATGGGTACTGCAGTCTAAATTCTAAACACCATAGAGAGCTGTCTCCCCTCCTCTGTAGAGTGGATGCTCACTCAGGTCACCATGTGGTGGACTCTGAAGCTTCAGTGTTTATCCAGCTCTGCATGGGTCTGTAAACCTTTCTGTGTTCTAACCTCTCTCCATTTTTCAAAAGCATCTCCAATATTGATCCTAGTTTGAGCACGTTTCTGCTCGTGGAGCTTATTAGAAACATGCAGAGGCTTTTTAGGTCGGGTACAATCACTTCTATCTGAACCACTTCTCTTGACCGCTTCCATCGCTGCAACACCTGTTGACCTGATAACTGCTCTCATATCTGACAAACCGAGGGGCGCCCAAAACAGCCGTGTGGGGGCGTGTCTTAAAAGCGCCTACCTTCTCTGGTCCAAACAAATCCAGAGCATTCAGGAGCAGAATCTAAAGTTAGAAGGAGGACATACTGGCTGCTGCATTGTTGTCAGAGAAGCCAGCACTTCAACATAGCATGTTTCCTTAATGATCAGATAGTAAGATACCTTTATCATCTCACTCTCTACACATCTCACTGATTGGACCTTTAAATACTTTTCTAGCTTGTGTTAACATTTAAGAATACAGGACAATCAAAAAAGGTAGAAAGTCATGTGTAAAAACAGTGAGTACCCTTCTGGTCGATTCTCAGGTCGTAGAGAGGCGTTCTGTAGACGTCTGCGGGCGACAGTGCACAGCGGGAGAGGGGCACGTGGTGTGAAGGTCCCAGGATGAACACCCTACGACTGAAGGGCGACAGCACTTTATCTCACTCACTCTGTTCACACAAAGAACACCAGCAGCACTATATTCTACTATGTGAGCTAACATCTAAAGGAGGGGAAAAGTCAGATGAGAAACATATCATTCAAAGCAGATTTCCTCGAGACGGGATCGGAGACGGTAAAAAACTGGACGACTTACGTAACAGAGGGATCGACCTGCTTGTAGGCGTGTGCTGCACAAGCGCCACAGTAGGTGTACCCGGCATGCCTGCAAACACACACATGATGGATTAGGATGACGCACGCATCACTTCTGACATGTTTGCATTTCTGTCTTAGCTCACGGTGCTATGATGGCTCGAGCAGGTCTGATGGAGGACTCGGCTTTGGACAGCCAGCCTTCTAGTTGAGCGTTCAGCTGGGATCCTGGAACAGAGGAACAACGACATATAAATGGTTTGTTTTAGATCACTGGGTTTAAAGAGAGACGCCAACCTGCTGCGTGTAGACCTCCTTATGAAAGGAAGAGTGATGTAGTGGATTTAAAACTAACAATCACACTTAAGCGAGGTCGAGATCCACATCAACGAGTCTCTGCAAATATGTTAAAGGAGGAAAAGTCTTTCATCAGTGAAGAGTTAGTCGAGCTGTTTGTGCCACCTTAATCATTTTAAACTATCTGAATCTGTGTTTTACGATGTCACATGAACAGACGCTACAGTCTGAACACTGACTAACTTTCTTCTGGAAACGTGCAGCACAGTATTCGTTTAATCTCAAGTATCGTGTTTTCATAAACGTGGGAAGACAAAATCTGAATTTTAAACTCAATTAATTGCCGTGGCTTACTCGACGGCCAGAGGAAGAAAAGCAGGTCTTCACTGAGCGAGCGAACACTCGAGTCCTCCTGCAAAGACTGCTGTTCTTTTATCTATCCTACAAAATGTGTTGTGCAAGAAAAAATTGGTGCCATTTTAGAAGGAATAAAAAAGCCTTTATTCTTCATGAGGGACGTGATGCAAACACAGTGTCATGTAAAACATTAAAAACTGCAGACACACATAGAAACCAGGATTTATAGCACATTTGATCCTTTTATATGTATCACTGTACAGGCCAGATGACAACCCTGTAAGTGTCTACTTTGGGATGTGGTCTCTTGAATCATGAGTCTGTCCTGTGAGTCTGCTGTTCTGGACTAAATAGTGATAGACAACACAAATGTTAAATAAATAATATTCAAAATGTCCTGTGTAAGATACACAGAAGAACCACTTTATGTCTAAAATCTGTGCAGATTTACATGAGATGAGCTCATCCTCATGTTGTGTATGTGCTGTAACAGCTGCTGAAATGGGGGAAGGGGTGCAACATGAAGCTTCAGTTCTCTGCCCTGCCCAGTCCTTTGTCTCATGACAGGGAGGATTTTCTGCTCCCAGCACACACGACAGAGTCAGGAACCAAAACAAGTGGGCTGAAGAGCAGACACACTGTTTCCAGAGAAGCAGGAGGGCCAGGAGCTGCAGCAGCTTTCTCCTCTGTTAGCTGCTCATCACTTCATGTATCTGAACAGCTGATGTCAGTTTGTTTACAATCATTTCCATCGACCACCTCAGAGGAGAAGTGCTGATGAAGCTCAAAAACAACAACCCTGCAGCAAACAGGCTTCTCATCAGCTGGTTAGCTTTAGCCTCCACAGTGACACTCTATGAATCTGACAGTTTAGACCAGAAAGATAATGAAGTGTACATTTAAAATAAATCTAATAACACTGATGAAACCCACAGAGGAGAGGAAACACAGATAAGTCTGTTAGCATTAGCATGCTACCCCGCACGGAGCTGACAGTTACCCGAGGCAGAGTACCAGCTCCCGGCGTGACTTGCTTCTCTGCACACAGGTCGGTTGGACATCTTGGTTCCCAAGCCGCCTATCTTGGTGTGCTGAGCTTCTGTCAGGCGAAATAAAACAAATTAAAACAAAAAAGCGGAATAACCAGCTAATCCAGAGAAGACGTGAAAGCCTGCGAGCTAACCTGCTGCAGAGACAAAAGGAGACGGCTAACAGGCTAACAGGCTAACAGGCTAACGAGCTAACAGGCTAACAGGCTAACGAGCTGGAACCGGTTAAACGGTGAACCGGAGACTGAAGCTAACGGCACTTTGTCTGACAGTCTGACGGTTATTTTATAATAATGATGATGTTTGATTTTAAAAAGGCCCAAACTGTTGTTAATGTGCCGACAGAGGAACAGTTTAAAGAGCTGTCACAGTCCGGACCGGAGGATTAATGACCACAGCCAGGTGAAGGTTTTTTATTCTCCAAACTTTATTAAAAACATTTACGTCGACAAACAGCCAAACACACAAACCGCGCAGACTCAGTAGATGGGCATTTCGGCTCTTTTCAGTGAGCCGCGTCTTTTTGCTCGACTCACAACTTCCGGATGTTTTGACTCCAAAACGACTTTTGGTTAATTAAGTATGACATGCTTTACAATTATCTATTTATTTACTCAGTCACTGCACTTTAACTTCACTTATTTGCACTATATCGCTATATTTATATTTGTTTAATAAAATATATTATATATCCTTTCAGTCATCATAACTGTCTATTTATTTATTATTATTATCATTCATTCACTGAACAGCAATTTCCCTGGCTACATATTTCTCTTTCATATCATATCTCTCTGATGTACGTCGCTTTGGATAAAAGCTGCTAACTGATTTGTAGAATATCACCACAAATATATTTTCGTTGCTGTTTTTGTAAACGCTGCTGTTTAGGATTGCTGCTAACAAAGTTTTGTTGTGTCCTTGTATACAATGATAATAAAGATTCTATTCTATGACATGTGGTTTGTGTAATTATGTCAAATTTTACACTTTATGTGTTTACATCAGTGGAAATGATCCAAAGCTTCCTACCACAAGCTGTTAGATTGTTGAACTGCTGATCTGGAACATACACACTGCACTTTAGTCTTAGCCTTAGTTATAGTTTTAGTTTTATATATATCTCAGAAATCTCAGTCACTGGCACCTAATGGCGGCCGCCACAACAAGGCTTCGACCATAGCTGCATTTCCTGGGTGCTTGTCCAAGCAGCAACCTCTGGTGTTGAAAAGTGAAGCCGATGCCGAAGTGTAAAAATTGTGCAGTTCCAGGAGTGTCCACTAGAGGCTGGCTGCAGAAGCACAGGAAGTCACATACACACCCATTCTAAAAAGCCTGTTTTTACAGCAGAGATGAACATGTTTACAGCCTGGTTCAAAAAACCAAATAGGTGTGATTAGCTCATGTCTGGATGGACACACACTGTACGGGGGGTGAATGTTTTGATGACTCATCAGTTTTGATTTGATGAAGGATAAGAGTTATTCACAATAAGGCGTGTAGCTGACCTGATTGACAGGTGGGCACGGTGTAACGGTTTGTCAGGAGGTTTAAAACCCGCCTCAGCTCCAGCTCTCAGCCTGTCGTTAGGTTGACTGAAAGTTAGACTGAGACAGCATTTCCAGCATGGAGACCGCCATCGATGGGACTCCAGCGCCCCCTGCAGGGACAGACGGAGGACGACAGTCAGGCTTCAAACATTCAGATTTACAGTCTAGGGCTCCCTGATTAATTTTAAAGGACCCGGCTGTTTGAACCGACTCGTCCCTGAACGTCTCATCCCCGTACACACTGGAAGCGGAAGCTATCGGTGGAGTTGCTTATGTTGTGTGAAGGCGCTGTAATTATTGTAGTTATATTGTAAAAACAGCTGCTTATATGTACTAAATAATGTAATTGCGTCATCATAAATGCGTGTGAGGCGTTAATTTAAGCGTTTCCTCTTCAGTTAGCTGCTAGCTTTGACTTTAACTGAGAACAAACGTTAGCGAGAGCAACGTGAGGTCTGCAAACATGAACGCAGTGAAAAACAGAGACAGCGGAGAAGTGATTAAAAACTACCACAAGCAGGCGTTTGAGTACGTTTCAAAGGCTTTACGGGTCGATGAGGACGACACAGGTAGTGTGTGTGTGTGTGTGTGTGTGTGTGTGAGTGTGTGTGTGTGTGTGTCTGTGAGAGTGTGTGTGTGTGTGTGTGTGTGTGTGTGTGTGTGTGTGTGTGTGTGTGTGTGTGTGTGTGTGTGTGTGTGTGTGTGTGTGTGTGTGTGTGTGTGTGTGTGTGTGTGTGTGTGTGTGTGTCTGTGTGTGTGTGTGTGTGAGTGTGTGTGTGTGTGTGTGTGTGAGTGTGTGTGTGTGTGTGTGTGTGTGTGTGTGTGTGTGTGTGTGTGTGTGTGTGTGTGTGTGTGTGTGTGTGTGTGTGTGTGTGTGTGTGTGTGTGTTGACAGCTGGTAAACACTCCTCTGTGTGCTGACAGGAGACAAGGAGCAGGCGGTGCTGTGGTACAAGAAAGGGATTTCTGAGCTTGAAAAGGGGATTAAAGTGGAGATCTCAGTACAAGGTAAAGTACAAACTACAGGTGTTCATCAGGTGTTTACTGTTGACATGTTTTAGACTACAGGTGTTCATCAGGTGTTTACTGTTGACATGTTTTAGACTACAGGTGTTCATCAGGTGTTTACTGTTGACATGCTTTAGACTACAGGTGTATAGTGTACAGGTGTGTAACTTCAGACAGTATAAGCATATCAAGCAGGTGTGAAAAGTATTGACATTCATTACTCAGGTAGAAGTTTAGATACGAGGGTTTAAAAAGTATCAACTCAAGCTTTTTACTCAAAGTGTAAAAGTTCTGGTTTCAAAACTACTTCAAGTATGAAAGTAAAAGTAATGTAAGGGGACAAAAGCTTAGGCTGCGCCCCCTATAGTGCACTACCCCACCTCCCCAAAAAAACATTTTTCTAAAGGCCATAATGACTTTAATGTTATATTAAAATGTTAATGTTGAAACATTTGGGATGCACCTGTTTCAGCCGCTTTAATGCACATTGAAAAGGAACTTTAGTACAAACACATTAAAGAACCATATATGTGAACTACTGAGTATTAACATGTGTTTCATGGAGAGGAAGATATGATGACTTGTTGCCTATAAGTATTGTTATGGTGCAAAAAGTCTTCAGAAGGATGTTATCAATAGTCTTTATTGGAATGTAAATGTACATCCAGCTGCAGGAATCTGTGAGGGCAACGGACGTAAGATAACAAAACTGGACAAGAAAACTGGTGTACCCCAGGGCAGGCTTAGTAACAATTACCCTTGTATGGTTGTCTATATACAGTGAAACCAATAGGGTGTCGGAATGGTATATGTTTATACTTCTCATCCAACCACGATCAAATTCACTCTATCCGGATGGCGTGATTTATCTGGATAGGTTTTTTTTTTTGTGTGTTTTTTTGAACGATGACAAGCCGGAATGAAACAGGAGTAACGAGGTTATTTTAAATTGTAAGGAGTAGAAGTAAAAAGTCGGCTGAAAAATAATTACTCCAGTAAAGTATAGATACCCAAAACTTCTACTTGAAGTAAGGTAACAAAGTATTTCTACTTAGTTACTTGACACCTCTGATATCAAGTGACTATTGTATCTGCTAAGTTTATCAGCAAATATAAGTCATTATATAAGTCGATTCCTCTCGAGGGATCACCACATAAATCACAGAAATAGACACGATCTGTGACCAGCTACTTTGGAAAGCATTTCTGGATGCTACCTAACGACAATGACTCGTCATAGAGCGGGTAATTGCGGACTTGATCTATAAACTTTTCTTCTAAACTTTCCTCCATTGTTGTAGCCGCTCTCTGGCCGTCACCAGCAGAGGGCGCTATGTGGATTACAATAAGCGTTATCACTCTCCAGAGTGTCGAGAAGTTACTTTCTAGTTGAGTGATGACTTCATTTGAGCGATCAACAGAATAAATGTGTTCTTGTATATGTATCTCTATGATCTGAACGTAGATCTAAGAAAGATATCGGCCAATATATCGGCATCAGATTTTTCTCTCCCCCCAATATCGTTATCGGCCCTAAAAATCTCATATCGGTCGGGCCTTAGTTCCTCAGGTGTAAAATGCTGACGTGTTGTGATGGTATGTTTTATATATCCGGTCTGCAGGAGAACAATATGAGCGAGCAAAGAGACTTCAGGATAAAATGGAAGCAAATCTCACCATGGCAAGAGACAGACTGGCTCTTCTGGGTAAGTGACACACACACACACACACACACACACACACACACACACACACACACACACACACACACACTGCTGCCTGAAGAAGTGGGTATTGATCCTTTCTGCTCTTGTTTCTCAGAGGCAACGTTAGCATCCAAAAGGAGGAGCGCTCCTCAGAGGAGCTTTACTCTCCCTCAGCCGAAACCGGCCCCTAAGAGTCAGCCTGCAGCGAGGGCGTGTCCTCCAACGTCAGACCCTCGCCTGCTGTCAGACCGCCGTCTGGACCTGCAGATTCAAAGGTGATTATATTAAGGCTGCGTTCACACTGCAGGTTAAAGTGACCTGAAGTTCAAGTTCTTTATCACAGTGTTTATCTCACTGAAGGAGGTCGCAACACCGCTACTTCCAGCCCGTAGCTGCTGTTTGTGTTTGCTCGTTTTAAAGGAGCAATATGTGACTTTGGCTGAGCTCATGCTCCAGAAACTGACCCAGTGAGGCCGAATGTGCAGCAAATCGCAGCGTTCACAGACTATGTGGACATTGGCAGTATGCAACAGTGACGTGATGGGGATGAACGCTGGCTGGAGAGGTCAGGACAGGACTCCCCGACTGGAGGAGAAATCATTAAAGGCTTTATATGTGATGTTTTGATCCAGTAGATGTCGCCCTTGAGCTCCAGCATGAAACCAAAACAACTCGAGCTGCATTGTTGTGTTAGCATGCTAATGCTAGTGATCTTTATTATGCTGGTATCTTCACACTGCATGTAAATTTACCTGAAATGAGCGTGATCTAGAAACACAGTTAAGCAGTGAGTACAGTATGTTATTCTTCTTTTCTCTAGTCCCTCAATTAAACAACTTTTATACACGAGGGGAGGAGTCAGCCGGCCGTCCTGGCGATGTAAACAAAGTGAAGATAGGACTCTGAAAACTCTGAAAACATCACAGACAGTGGGACTCGGGTGTTACACCCATTGTAGACAGTCATGACTCAGAGTTATTTTCAGAGGATAGACTTGATTTCTACATTTAAGGGTGAAAAATCACAGAAAGACTTTAATGAAGCGTATACTGAGCACCAGAGGGAGGAGGAATAACAACTCCAGATTTGGAGTCACTGAGCTGTAGTATGAGGATGTTTTCTTTTTTGCTTTTTAAACGTTTCTGACTCCGATGACGTTCTGATTTCTTCTGTCTCTCAGGCGACCCCTCGGACGGGAAGGCCTCCAAACGGAAGACCTGGCGCAATGAGACCGCCCCTGAAGAGGGATATGAAGAACTTCAAGAACGTGGACAGCAAACTGGCCAACCTGATTCTGAATGAAATCGTGGACAGGTATTGTGAAGCACTGCGACACCTGCACGTTAAAGCTGACAGAGAGAAAACCTTCTGATGACAGATGTTTGTGCTCTCATCACAGCGGAGCGTCCGTCTCCTTCGACGACATCGCCGGACAAGAACTGGCCAAGCAAGCTCTCCAGGAGATCGTCATTCTCCCCGCCTTAAGACCAGAGGTAAGGACTTACTTTGATCGTCCTCTGTAAGGTCAGATCGGTCGTTTAACGCAGTTTTCACTTTTCACCTTTCAGCTCTTTACCGGCCTGAGAGCTCCGGCTCGCGGCCTGCTGTTATTCGGCCCGCCTGGAAATGGAAAAACCATGTTGGTGAGATACTGATAACCCAGCACGCTGATCACAGCGTTTTTATACTTTATTTTTCATTTTTGTTTTACAAGAAACACAGAACAAGTGAGGACGAGGGCGAGACAGTATGAATAAGATCAAATACAAGAATGTAAAAGGCACAGGTACAGTACATAATGGATGGTAAAGATATATTTAGGAGTCTTTATCTTTGTATAAATCCAATATTCTTCTCCCTTCTCCTTGTTGAAGTCGCAGGACAAAAGTCATTTTTCCCATAAAGCTGATGGAATTCACAGTGTTCCTCATGAGGCTCATGGTGGGAGCGTTCCTCTGAAGACAACATTTAGTAATCGCTTTTTTACTTGCCACCATAAGAATCTTTAAAAGGTACATGTCCTTTTTACCAAGACCTTCTGGAATTTTCCCGAGGTAGAGGGATGTGAAGAGAAGTCCAATGTAGTGTTCAGAGTCTCTGCGATTAATAGTTTCAAATCTTTCCAGAAGGGCTCAAGACGTGGACAAGACCAAAAAAAAACATGTACACAGTCTGCTGGAGACCACTTCACATCCCCTCCAGCATGAGGCTGGAAGTGGATCCACCAGAAGTGGATTGATTTTTCCAAATCTGAAGCCATGCTTCTTGTGATATTACTACATTGGCCTCTTTTTCCCAGCGCTGTCTAACTTAACCTTTCTCTTCCTCTTTCAAGGCCAAAGCAGTCGCAGCAGAGTCAAACGCTACATTCTTCAATATCAGCGCTGCCAGTCTGACCTCCAAATATGTAAGAAGTCATTTTAGTGTTTCTGCAGAATCCTGAATGTTAGAAACGTAAGATGTGATGCTAACTCTTCGTGTGGTCACCGTCACAGGTGGGAGAGGGGGAGAAGCTCGTACGAGCTCTGTTTGCTGTGGCTCGAGAACTTCAACCCTCCGTCATATTCATAGGTTTGTATTATTCCATCGATGGACTCAGTGTGCCTCAGACATTTTTCAATCCCACTAAATGTGTTTGTTACCGTTCAGACGAAGTGGACAGTCTGCTGTGTGAGAGGAGGGAGGGGGAACACGACGCCTCTCGGAGGTTAAAAACAGAGTTCCTGGTGCAGTTCGACGGGGTAAGAGCAGCAGCGGTCGCTCTCTGCTCTCTGAAACATGTCAGTTTGAAGTCTCTGGTGTTATTCTCACAGCTGTGTTTCTGTTCCAGGTTCAGTCAGGAGGGGACGACAAGGTGCTCGTTATGGGAGCCACCAACAGGCCTCAGGAACTGGACGAAGCCGTGCTGAGGTACCAGAAGGAGCTGCTCCATGAAAAATAGACCAGTGTCATGTTATAACATGAACATAAACATTTAATAACTCAAACAAAGATATATTCACACTAATGTAGTATTTCATGTTACTACATACTACATGTTACTGTATAACACAAGCAGCAACCTCCGGGGTTGAAAAATGAAGTAAAGGCTGAAGTATAAAATCCTGCAGAGATCGCAGTGTCACAGGGGTTAATAGGCTGGTCACTGTGATAGGTCAGAACACGACTTGCAGTGATGCCATTGGCCACACTGATGATGTTGAAGGTCACATATCCTCCTCTTCAGTTTAATTCTTCCTCTTCTAAAGTTTAAAGTCTCAAAACTCCTCAAAACATGTGTGTGAAGTGTCTTGTTCTAAATCTGTGTCTGTACCTTTAAATATGTAAATGAGCGGTGTCTGACCACGCCCCCCTCTCTGGAAGGGCTTGGGTGTACTCGGTCTTTCTCGCTCCATGTCCTATTGTTTACGGTGAGAAGGCAGACTCAGAGGGCAGAACAAACACCTAGCTGTGGAGTGTCACCCACCTGGGGGAGGGGCTACTGCCCTTTGTGATGTCATGAAGGGAACATCTCCAAACGGCCTGCTTGAGCACACATTTTCTGAAAAGTGGAGCAGGCAGAAGACGGAGAGGATGGACTTTTCTCATGATTGGAGGGTTTATAGACGGACTAGAGACACATGTTAGAGGAACATGGAGAAGTGTATATTACATCATATCTGACCTCTAAGTTCAGCATGTTTTTATGATTGTGCTTTTGCAACGCCGGGGATACGAGATAAATAAGTCGAGATCTTGTAAAAACAATCAGAACTTCCTGGTTATCACAGGGAAACAGATTTCATATTCAGGCCACTTCCTGTTAGAGCGTCACACTTCTGTAGTTTCTGAAAATCTCACCACAGTGTTTCTCTTCTTCTCACAGGCGCTTTGCTAAAAGGGTTTATGTGGCGTTGCCGGATGAGCAGGTATTTATTGTGGAACCGTTCAGTTTATTTTGATCGTCTGTGATGGCGGCTCTGTGAGGGGGAAAGGTTGCATCACCCTCATGATGAACCTCTCTCTCTTCTCTGCAGACGAGATGCACGCTGCTGAGAAACCTTCTGGGGAAACAAGGAAACCCTCTGAGCGCCAGCGAGCTCTCCTACGTGGCAAAGTGAGTTTTTATATTCACCCAAACAGATTTAACCTCAGATTAAAGAAAACACACTAACTCCTGGATCTGTAACCCTGACAGGAAGACGGCAGGATACTCAGGAAGTGACCTCACGTCATTAGCCAAAGACGCCGCTCTGGGGCCGATTAGAGGTGAGACGTCTGGTTCCTGTTTCTGTGAGGTTTCCATGACGACTGAAAACTGAGTCATTAAAAATCGTTCTTTTTTCCACAGAGTTGGGACCAGACCAGGTCAGGAGTATGGCTGCTAGTGAGGTAACGCTGTTCATCTATTTATTTAAAATGAACATGTACGTGTGACAGATTGTAGCCTTTAGGAGCCTTCAGATAGGATTTGCGCTGCGCTCGCCGCGGGGTAGAGTACAGAGGGGGCGGGGGGGATCACATATCAATAGGTTGCTCGGTTACCAAAACGATAAGATAAAAAATAGATACTGGGTGGATGGAAGTTATCACACGTGGAGAGCTCATCCTCCAAACGTCCATAGAGGGATGATTTGATTGGACATGAAGTAGCAGTAGAGTTTTCCCTCCTCCTCTCTCTCTCTCTTTTTTTCTAAACGATAGTCGGGGAAGCAGCTTCTGCCACAGCTCCATGTTTGTGCTCTGATCTTTGTTCTGCTGAGGAGACAAGAAAAATAAGAAGGGGGCGTGGCTTAATGAGATCATCAGGTCACAACAGGAAGTGGAAGGGTTTAATCTCGTCCAGGAGCTGCAGCAGCTCTGTAACACACATTTCTGCTGCTGTTTGAAACACACCTGGGACACCCAAACTGTCCGACACGTCTTTACAAACATCGCTCTCTCTCTCTCTCTCTCTCTCTCTCTCTCTCTCTCTCTCTCTCTCTCTCTCTCTCTCTCTCTCTCGTCTCGGTGGGTCTTTAAACGATCAGGGAAGTGAGACACTGTTTGTTGTGTCGTCATGCTGCACATGGAGAGACAAGTTTCAGCTTGGCCAGGCGCCGATACACAGCGCAACACATAGACAATGAATTGGAGTGGGCGCTTGTGGTGCAGTGGTTAGTGTGCGCGCCCCATGTATGGAGGCTGTAGTCCTCCACACGGGCGGCCCGGGTTCAAATCCGACCTGTGGCTCCTTTCACGCATGTTGTTCCCCATTCTCTCTCTCTCCCTGATTTCTGACTCTATCCACTGTCCTATCTCTCCATTAAAAGCCCAAAAATAAATCTTAAAAAAAAACAAAGTGAGTGAGAGTGGCACGCGGCACACGCAGCATTTGAAGTCCCTGTGGGGTCATTTCCATCTGATGACCGTCGGCAGGTTGGAGTATGGAGGACTAAAAGTGCCAAAATGAAATATATAAATATATATATATATATATATATATATATATATATATAAATGTACAGATATATAACTAATTAATTAAATGCATGTGTTATTAAATAATTAAATAATTATTTAAATGTGTCATTAATTATTTAAAATTGGTAATATATAAATACATTATTTATGAAATACATAAATAATTAAATAAATGTTTAAATAATTATTTAAAATGTTCATTCATTCTATGGAAAAACACATCTATTTATTCCACTATTTATTTAATTATTTCATGCTTCCTGCTCCAGCAGTGCATCATCATTTTATCTGTCATCCTCTCCCATCAAACTCAGTGGGCGGGATTAACGCTGATCAAGTCACAAACCATTGCTTTGGTCCGCAGGGTTGCCAGACTAGGCGGCCCCAGACCTCGACCTTTAAACCTTTTTTTAACCCTTCAAACGCATACCGATCTACAGGTGCACAGTTATTCTTTAATCCAGTATTTGTCTCCGTCTGTGTCCTCAGATGAGGAACATCAACAGGAAAGACTTTGAAGAATCCCTGAAGCGCATCAAGCCGAGCGTCAGCCCGACCACGCTGACCATGTACGCACAGTGGAACAAAGACTTTGGAGACACGACGGCGTTGTGAACCTTTCTGCTTCCTCTACAAGATGTCACTGAAAGAAACCTGTGGCAGGTTGAAGATGAATGATTATCATCACATTTGGGATCATTATTTGATTCTTTATTATGATTTATAAAACTTTCTTTACGGTATTTCTTCACTCCTTAAACTTTGAATGTCGTTTATTTATTTTTGAGACTGTCCTGCTAAATTTACAAATGATCCTCTGCCACTAGAGGGCAGCATACTTCAGTAAATCAACCCCTAAACTTCACTGATTGAGATTCTGTTGCACATCCATGATTCCCCCTGACGTGTTGGTATTATTGATCACTAAGTGCTCTGCAGGCTCTCCTGATTGGAGCCTTTTAATGAGTGGAAACAGTTAGAATGACGTGTTGGCTGACTCTTTCAGTTCTAGCGAGCGTTATAATACTCACATGAAAAGCAGGTTGTGGTGGCTTCTCAGCTTCCTGGTGCATCAATAAACACCTTCATGAAAAGTCTCTGCAGATGTATTTGTTCTCGTCTGTACGGTCATGAGACAAAAGCAAACATGTCACAAAGTTATTCAAAAGTGAAGATTTGACTGATGATGAATCTGTGAAGACGGGCGGGGATGGGGAGGTGGACGGGCACACAAAACATCGGCATGAAGGAATTAAAGACTAAAGAAAGAATCTTATTTAAAAAGGAGGGCAGAAAGATGATAGGCTGACAACGAGGGAGAGACGCCATTGGTTAGTATTCCCACTTCCTCTGATTCACACCAGTAACTGATGACTGACTACATTCAGGACTTTTCTTTTCCTGGGACGGTGAAGGGATGACCCTCTCTCTGATTGGCTAAACACTGACTAAATATTCAGTGGTCATGTCACTGTTAATACCAGAGGCTGTTTATCTTCTGCTGGGCGGGGCACTTAAAAAAACATTTGGGGGTATGAAGAGTAAACAAATTTCTTCAGGTACTACTGATGAGTACCACTGATGAGACAGCTGATTACCCAATGACAGCGCCAGAAAATGACAGCATGAATGTGAGATGGCCTGATCGAGAAGGCAAATATAAAGTTGAAACGGAGTCCCATTTTCTTTTGCATTGTACAAAATCTGATGATTTAACAGAATCATTGTTTCATGAAGTAAAATCTGAAATATTGGGGCGGACAGATGTGCAGAAACTGGAATGGCTGTTTAAGTTTGATGTGTTTAAACTTGATAATTTTGTTTGAAAAGCTTGGAAAAGAAGACAGGAATATTCTGTTTAATTAGTTTGACTTCTTGAGAATGAATATAGTGTACCTAGTGCACTCTGATCCCGGAACGTTTTGAATTTATGGTGTCATGTAAGAACATGCGGGCTGGGCATGTGGATGTATGTATGACACAATAACAAAATAAAAAACTATAAAGTTTTCCTGACTGAACGTACGCTTCATCTGAAGTCACTCGTCAACAGACATTATTGTTGACCAATTAAGACAAGGTATGTCCTGCAGCTGCTTATGTAAGGAAAAGCATAAGCATGTTCTGAAATGGATGGATTGGTGTCATCCATCAGTAGCAGCAAATCTGCATTACACATATTGAAGTGTGAGGCTTCATGTGTGCAGGTAGATGGTGCTGCTGCTCCGTTTTCCCCTCCTCCCTCCTCCCTCCTCCCTCCCCCCTCCTCCCTCCTGTTAGAAACAGTCTCAGTCTGTACGTAACCACAGATGTGAGGAATGTAATCATTTGCTTTTAATGAAAATAAAGTGGCTGTTTTCTGCTGCGTTGAGATGTCAAGGCTGAGTGATGGACCGATTACGTTTACAGTCGTCACATTGTTTCATTTAAAGAGCTTCTGTGCACCAACATGAAGGCGCTCCAGAAACATATCCAAGTCAGCAAAGGTTTTATTTAAAGGGGACATAATATGAAAAATCTACTTCTACAGTGTTTCTGAACATTTATCTGTGTAACCTGAGAGTCTACTGACCCACAACAGGTGAAATAACCCATCCAGTCCTTTATTTGTGGTCTGCATAAGTCTTACAACACAGAGAAAAATGCTCTGTTTCTAATGTGCTCTCCTTGTGATGTCACAGTGGGATTCTGGGAAAAAATAATAATCCCTTCCCTCCCCTGGTATCTCCACCCATAGACTCCACCCCCAGTCTAGAACATTCTGAGCGTTCTGAGAGAGCTGGTTTATACAGGGTCGCAAACCTCCTCTGGTGCTTGATTCATGTTATATTTTGATATTTTGCACAGATGTTTCATTTAGACCACAGGGGGGCTGTTTGAAAAGGTGGAGGAGGGGACTGTTTGAAAAGGTGGAGGGGGGGACTGTTTGAAAAGGTGGAGGAGGACTGTTTGAAAAGGTGGAGGAGGGGACTGTTTGAAAAGATGGAGGGGGCTGTTTGAAAAGGTGGAGGAGGGGACTGTTTGAAAAGGTGGAGGAGGGGACTGTTTGAAAAGATGGAGGGGGCTGTTTGAAAAGGTGGAGGGGGCTGTTTGAAAAGGCGGAGGAGGGGACTGTTTGAAAAGGTGGAGGAGGGGGCTGTTTGAAAAGATGGAGGGGGCTGTTTGAAAAGGTGAGGAGGGGACTGTTTGAAAAGGTGGAGGGGGGGCTGTTTTGAAAAGGTGGAGGGGGCTGTTTGGAAAAGGTGGAGGAGGGGACTGTTTGAAAAGATGGAGGAGGGGGCTGTTTGAAAAGGTGGAGGAGGGGACTGTTTGAAAAGGCGGAGGAGGGGACTGTTTGAAAAGAGAGGGGCTGTTTTGAAAAGGTGGAGGGGGCTGTTTGAAAAGGTGGAGGAGGAGGACTGTTTGAAAAGGTGGAGGGGGCTGTTTGAAAAGGTGGAGGGGGGGACTGTTTGAAAAGGTGGAGGAGGGCTGTTTGAAAAGGTGGAGGGGGGGCTGTTGAAAAGGTGGAGGGGGGACTGTTTGAAAAGGTGGAGGAGGGCTGTTTGAAAAGGTGGAGGAGGACTGTTTGAAAAGGTGGAGGAGGGGACTGTTTGAAAAGGTGGAGGAGGGGACTGTTTGAAAGGTGGAGGGGGGACTGTTTGAAAAGGTGGAGGAGGGGACTGTTTGAAAGGTGGAGGAGAGGGACTGTTTGAGAAGGTGGAGGAGGGGACTGTTTGAAAAGATGGAGGGGGGCTGTTGAAAAGGTGGAGGAGGGGACTGTTTGAAAAAGGTGGAGGGGGGGGCTGTTTGAAAAGGTGGAGGAGGGCTTCGTTTGAAAAGGGCGGAGGAGGGACTGTTTGAAAAGGTGGAGGGGGGCTGTTTGAAAAGGTGGAGGAGGGACTGTTTGAAAAGGTGGAGGGGGGACTGTTTGAAAAGGTGGAGGGGGCTGTTTGAAAAGGTGGAGGAGGGGACTGTTTGAAAAGATGGAGGGGGCTGTTTGAAAAGGGTGAGGAGGGACTGTTTGAAAAGGTGGAGGGGGGACTGTTTGAAAAGGTGGAGGAGGGGACTGTTTGAAAAGGTGGAGGAGGGGACTGTTTGAAAAAGTGGAGGAGGACTGTTTTGAAAAGGTGGAGGAGGGACTGTTTTGAAAAGGTGGAGGAGGGGACTGTTTGAAAAGGTGGAGGAGGACTGTTTGAAAAGGTGGAGGAGGGGACTGTTTGAAAAGGTGAGGGGGCTGTTTGAAAAGGTGGAGGAGGGGACTGTTTTGAAAAGGTGGAGGGGGGACTGTTTGAAAAGGTGGAGGGGGCTGTTTGAAAAGGTGGAGGAGGGGACTGTTTGAAAAGATGGAGGGGACTGTTTGAAAAGGTGGAGGAGGACTGTTTGAAAAGGTGGAGGGGGACTGTTTGAAAAGGTGGAGGGGGGACGTTTGAAAAGGTGGAGGAGGGGACTGTTTGAAAAGGTGGAGGGGACTGTTTGAAAAGGTGGAGGAGGACTGTTTGAAAAGGTGGAGGAGGGGACTGTTTGAAAAGGTGGAGGGGGGGACTGTTTGAAAAGGTGGAGGAGGGGCTGTTTGAAAGGTGGAGGAGGGCTGTTTGAAAAGGTGGAGGGGACTGTTTGAAAAGGTGGAGGAGGGGACTGTTTGAAAAGGTGGAGGGGGCTGTTTGAAAAGGTGGAGGAGGACTGTTTGAAAAGGTGGAGGAGGGGACTGTTTGAAAAGGTGGAGGAGGGCTGTTTGAAAAGGTGGAGGAGGGGACTGTTTGAAAAGGTGGAGGGGGGACTGTTTGAAAAGGTGGAGGAGCTGTTTGAAAAGGTGGAGGAGGACTGTTTGAAAAGGTGGAGGAGGGGACTGTTTGAAAAGGTGGAGGAGGACTGTTTGAAAAGGTGGAGGAGGACTGTTTGAAAAGGTGGAGGAGGGGACTGTTTGAAAAGGTGGAGGAGGGGTGTTTGAAAAGGTGGAGGAGGGGACTGTTTGAAAAGGTGGAGGAGGACTGTTTGAAAAGGTGGAGGAGGGGACTGTTTGAAAAGGTGGAGGAGGACTGTTTGAAAAGGTGGAGGAGGACTGTTTGAAAAGGTGGAGGAGGACTGTTTGAAAAGGTGGAGGAGGGACTGTTTGAAAAGGTGGAGGAGGGGACTGTTTGAAAAGGTGGAGGAGGACTGTTTGAAAAGGTGGAGGAGGGGACTGTTTGAAAAGGTGGAGGAGGACTGTTTGAAAAGGTGGAGGAGGACTGTTTGAAAAGGTGGAGGAGGACTGTTTGAAAAGGTGGAGGAGGGACTGTTTGAAAAGGTGGAGGAGGGACTGTTTGAAAAGGTGGAGGAGGGGACTGTTTGAAAAGGTGGAGGAGGGGACTGTTTGAAAAGGTGGAGGAGGGGACTGTTTGAAAAGGTGGAGGAGGGGACTGTTTTGAAAAGGTGGAGGAGGACTGTTTGAAAAGGTGGAGGAGGACTGTTTGAAAAGGTGGAGGAGGACTGTTTGAAAAGGTGGAGGAGGGGACTGTTTGAAAAGGTGTTGAAAAGGTGAGGAGGACGTTTGAAAAGGTGGAGGAGGACTGTTTGAAAAGGTGGAGGAGGAGGGTAATATGTCCTCTTTCAAATGATGAGTAAAAAAACCATCTGGTCTCAATGAGGCGGTTTGAATGATGGAAGTTTGAGGTCTCCATTAATGTTCCATAAAAACATGATGTTCCTGATCAATAATTCACGCCCTCTCTCACTCTTGATCTCGTCTTACTGGTCAGCGGCGGGATGAGGCTTTGAAATTATGAAAAGGCATTTTTCATTTTATCTTTCCTGGCGGCTGATTGGCTCGTCGCCCACAGAGACTCCTCTGTATTGACGGCAGATGCTTCCTGGTAACGTCGACTACCTCTGCACCAGGAGACGCTCGCGCTGCTTAACCCCGTTAAGAGCTCTTTGATGTCAGGATGCCTTGCAGCGAGGACTTAAGCACACGTCATGTTGTTAATAATGCTTCAAGTTGTTCAGGAGACCAAAGAACCGAGTGATATGTGTTTAACATGTTACAACACTGAGCTCGCCACCGTTTGATCCGCCGACACGTGAAAGACGTACAGATGAGAGTCGATTGTGTTTACATTGTGGAGTCCAAGACACACACACA